GGTTTTCTTTTCCAACATTCCTTTTCACTATCCAGGATCTTTTCTGGTTCCATACAAATTTTAGAAGTTTTTATTACAGATATATGAAAAATGTCGAGGTATTTTGCTGGGGATTGCATTAAATGTGTAGATTGCTCTGGGTAGCATAGACATCTTAACAAAATTTGTTGTTCCAATGCATGAGCATGAAATGTTTTTCCATCTTTGTCTCCCTCAATTTCTTTCATAAGTGTTCTATAGTTTTCAGAGTACTGATCCTTCATCTCTTTTGTTGTGTTTGTTCCTAGGTATCTTATGAATTTTGGTGCAATTGAAAATAATATCAATTCCTTAATTTCTCTTTGTCTCATTGTTAGTGTATAGAAATGCAACTTGTTTTCTGGGCATTGATTTTATATCCTGCCATGCTGCTGAATTCATGTATGAGATCTAGGAATTTTAGGGTGGAGTCTTTTGGGTATTCCATATAAAGTGTCTTGTCATCTGAGAAGAGTGAGCATTTGATTTATTTCTTTGCCAATTTAGATTCATTTGTTTTTGTTGTCTGATTGCTGAGGCTAGGACTTCTAGTCCTATGTTGACCAATAGTGGTGAGAGTGGATATCCGTATCTTGTCCCTGACTTTAGGGGACAAGCTCTCTTTTTTTCCCCATTGAGAATGATACTGTGGGCTTTTTGTAGATGGCTTTTATGATACTGAGATGTGTTCCCTCTATCCTGACACTGTGGAGGGTTTTAATCAAGAAAGGGTGCTGTATTTTGTAAAATTCTTTTTCTTTATCAATTGAGGGGATCGTATGTTTCTTGTTCTTTCTTTTATTAATGTATTGTATCACATTAATTGATTTGTGGATGTTGAACCACTCTTGCAGCCAAGGAATAAATCTCACTTGGTCATGGTGAATAATCCTTTTAATGTACTGTTGGATCCTATTGGCTATTATCTTGATGAGAATTTTGGGATCCATGTTCATCGGGTATATTTGTCTGTAATTCAACTTTGTCTGATTTTGGGATCAAGTTAGTGCTGGCCTCATAGAATGAGTTTGGAAGTTGTCCTATTTTTATTTTTTTGAAACAGCTTCAGAAGAATAGGTATTATTTTTTCTTTAAATGTTTGGTAGATTTCCACTGGGAAGCCATCTGGCCCTGGATTCTTGTTTGTTGGGAGTTTTTTGATTACTGCTTAAATTTCCTTGCTGGTTCAGATTTTCTATTTCTTCCTGGTTCAGTTTTAATAGTTTATACATTTCTAGGAAGCATCCATTACTTCCAGATTGCCAAATTTGTTGGCTTATAGTTGCTCATAATATGTTCTTGTAATTGTTTGCATTTCTTTGGTGTTGGTTGTGATCTCTCCTCTTCATTTGTGATTTTATTTATTTGGGTCCTTTCTCTTTTCTTTTTGATAAGTTTGGCTAGGTGTTTATTGATCTTATTAATTCTTTCAAAGAACCAGCTCCTATGTTCTTTGATCTGTTCTACTGTTCTATTGGTTTTTATTTCATTGATTTCTGCTCTAATGTTTATTATTTATCTTCTGCTGGGTTTAGGCTTTATTTGTTTTTCTTCTTCCAGCATCTTAGGTGTAAGGTTAGCTTGTGTATTTGTGACTTTTCTTGTTTTTTGAGAAAGGACTGTATTGGTTTTGCTGCATCCCAAAGGTTCTTAACTGTTATGTTTTTCACCCCCTTCATTCTTCCCTTCCTTCTCCTAATGTCCTCCATGCTATTCCTTATGTTCCACAAATAAGTGAAACCATATAATTGACTTTCTCTGCTTGACTTATTTCACTTAGCATTATCTCCTCCAGTCCCATCCATGTTGATGTAAAAGTTGGGTATTCATCTTTTCTGATTGCTGAGTAATATTCCATTGTCTATATGGACCACATCTTCAATAGCCCCAAAAACCATAAGATACCTTCGAATAAACCTAACCAAAGAGGTAAAGGATCTATACTCTAGGAACTACAGAGCACTCACGAAAGAAATTGAAGAAGACACAAAAAGATGGAAAAATATTCCATGGTCATGGATCAGAAGAATAAACATTGTTAAATGTTTATTTTAACATTTAGATTCAGAGCAATCTATACCTTCAATGCCATCCCAATCAAAATTCCAATGACATTTTACAAAGTGGTGGAACAAACAATCCTAAAATTTGTATGGAATCAGAAAAGACCCTGAATCACCAAGGAAATGTTGAAAAAGAAAAACAAAGCTGGGGGCATCACGTTGCCCAATTTCAAGCTATATTACAAAGCTGTGATCACCAAGACAGCATGGTATTGGCACAAAAACAGACATATAGACCAATGGAACAGAATAGAAAGCCCAGATATGGACCTTCAACTCTACAGTCAAATAATCTTCAACAAAACAGGAAAAAATATGCAATGGAAAAAAGACAGTCTCTTCAATAAATGGTGCTGGGATAATTGGACAGCCACATACAGAAAAATGAAACTCGACCATTCTCTAACACCATTCACAAAGATAAACTCAAAATGTATGAAAGACCTCAATGTGAGATAGGAATCCATCAAAATCCTAGAGAACATAGGCAGTAACCTGTTTGACATCGGCCACAGCAACTTCTTCCAAGATACTTCTCCAAAAGCTGGTGAAACAAAAGCAAAAATGAACTTTTGTGTTTGTCTTCTGAGGGAGAGGCCTGCTGTGCTGGCTCACAAGCTGACTTGCCCTCAGAAAGATGCTCCTACCAGGTCAGGGTGCAGGGTTTAGTGTAAGGGATTCCAGTGTCCACTAGAGGCACTGCGTTTCTCTCTGGAGTCTGTACTGGTGGACAGGAGAAGGGGTTGGTTGTGGAGGAGGTAGAATATGGCATCACCTCATCTCTTTGTCCCTGGGGGCTGAACTCCTGGCAGCTGTTTCTCAGGAGGCCCTCCCAGAAAAGCAAGCAATCTCCTCTGGCCCAGGCCCTCATCAATTCCCTGCAAAAACCTGTCTGTGTCCGGGTCATCAGCATGCCCAGAGCCACAGATCTCCTGCATTTTGTCTCTGGCCAGTGGCTGGGATTCAAAACTTCAAGTATTAAAGAGCCTGGTAATATGTGAGCACCCACTCCTGTCCCCAGGTGGGGAGGCTCAGGTCTTGCCCAGAATCAGCCAGTCCCCAAAAAGTCCTCACACAGTGCAAATGTAGAGGCTAGAGTTTATTGTAATACTCAGCAAAAAGATGGAGCCAGGGTATCAGTCATCTACACTTTACTCGGTCCCCTACTCTCCTTTGTGCCAGGAAAACTGTTGCAGAAGCTTGAATCTATTGTGGTAGACAGCAAAAGCAGTGGCCCGGTTAGCAGCGATCCACTCCAGTCTCTGTTCTGTACTCAGCCAGTCCCAGAAAAGTGGCTTCCTGGAGCATGCACAAAGGTTCAAGCCTACTTTAGCTCACACCAAAAAATTAAAAGGTTTTCTGCCCTCTTGCATGCCCCTCTGACCCCGCTGTGCTGCTCCCCTCACTGGCTCCCCAGTTGTTCCTCTGTCTCTGGAGAGAACAAATGTGCTCCTCAAGTGTCCTCCAGGAAGGGAAGCGATCTCTCTCTGAACAACCCAGGGATCTGCTCTCCACAGCTTATTGTGGGGTCAAAAACCACTGCATTCTTTCCAACTTTCTCCCTCTTCCTGGCTTTGCTCCTTGAAACTGCTTCCTCCCGTTCCCAGCCCTGCAGCTTCCCAGTCCCCCAGTTCATGGCTCTGAATCTTGCTTCTGCCAAACTCACTCACTCCAAATGTGCAGATTGTTTCTATACTTCTCTGATCCTTCTCCTAGTTCAAAAGAGTTAAAGGTTGTATTCAGAGGACAAGGCAAGTTCAGGGTCCCCCTACTACTCTGCCATCTTGGACACTACTAGCTCAAATTGATCCTTTTATTAAAATTTTCTCTATATCTAAAAATTGATTCTACTCATTTAGCATTTCACATTAAAATTTATTGGTCAATGGTTGAATAGTTATAAATAATAGTAATAATAATAATATATTGTATTTTGCAAAACACTTTTAGATCCACCATTGAATTCTGTCCCCTGAAAGTCAATCATTTATTTATTCAACAAATATGCATTGAGTGATAACCATGTACAAGGCAGTATTTGAGGTGCTTGAGATATGTAGAAAATACTGTTATCAATAGACAAAGATCCCTTCCTTCAGAGTGCTTGCATTCTACCAAGAAAAGTCAAAACAAACAAACAAAAACAAACCCAATAAATAAGATAACAATATAATAGAATACATTTAGAAATTGTTAAGTATAATACTGGAAAAAAAGCATTGGGAGTGTGGGCTCTGGGTGGACTCTGAGGTTGTTCAGACTGTAGAGTTCTGACTGAGAAGCTGGGTTTGAGCAGGTTTAATGGGAAGAAAAAGTGGGGGGGGGTATGAGTAAAGCAGAAATGTGGGAAAAGGGAATTTCAGGTAGAGGGCACAGCTCGGAGAAAGGTCCCATGGTGGGAAGTGCCTGGTCTAGTGTAAACCCAGCCTAGATGCCAGAGTAGGAGGAGGAGGATGAAACCAGCAGTATGTGGATGGAGACAGAATCAGAATCAGGTAAGGAACTGGTGTTCAGATACTCCAGAGTTTGAAGGCTCACTGTAAAGATTATGGCTTTAATTTTAAGTTCAATGTAAAGTCATTGCACTGGAACTACTGTCTTGGGAACTGAAGGGTCAGCCCAACTGTGCACTGATAATGGACATGGGAGGGGCTGGAGTACAGCCAAGTTGACTGTTAAGAAACTATTATAGTAACCCAGGGGAAGACGATGGAAGTTCAGACCAGAGTTAGAGCAGCAGAGTGGTTAGGACTGGTTGAACTCTGTGTATTCTGAAGGTAAAGCCAAAGGTTTGCTGATGGGCTGGGTGAGGGCTAAAGAAATCAAGAGAGGAGTCAACCAGATTCTTGCCCTGAGCAATTGAAAGGACACAGTTCCCTTCCACTGAGATGGAGAAGCCTGTGTGTGTGTGTGTGTGTGTGTGTGTGTGTGTGTGTGTTTTAGGAGAAAGGACAGAGAAGAAAGTAAGGGAGAGTTCAGCGAACAGGAAAGATTTTTAAAGATGATTTAAAGTTAGCTGTTGATGAACCAGAATTCCAGAGAGAACAGAAGACACCTTTCAGGAATTGGGGAGGGAAAGGAAAAAGGGTCATAATAGCAGATGCACAAAACTTCGTGAAGCTTGGAAAGCAAGGGATGAAGGAAGACTTAAGTTGGTTGAATAATTGACATAAATCATGATAAGATGCAAAGTGAGGTAACAGGATGGGAGGGAGACAGTGGAAACCAGGATGTTAACTTTCTCTAGGGACTAGTCATTCTCTGTTCATGCCTTGAAGAGGGTGAAAGGCCTGAGGCTTTGCTGTGGTGTCCTTCTGCTTCTTAAGCTTAAGTGAATGGGTAGAAGCCCCTGGGGAGGTATAATCTCAGAGCAGTGACTCCATCCCTCCTGATGCCCATGGGGAAGGGTCTCTACTGCTGTGAGTGTATGTTCTCCATATGGTCTCCTGTCATGGATCCCTGGCCTTACAGTGACATGAATAGGTATATACTACATTGCCAGCTCACTTAATCCCCAATGATGGGGAAGATGAATGGTAATCCAGGGCATGAGCCTCTTCTCTACTCAGACCATGCAAGGAAGAGGCCTCGGGTATGTGTGGTCTATAAAATATCAACAAGAGGCATATAAGAATACATTATTACCTCCATTTGGAAAGGAGAGATGGAAAGAGGACTTGTTTGCTTATGATCAAACAAAAATGTATCACACATGAATGTACAGAAATCTTTAATACAAGGGCTCATCAATAAAGTATATAGAGCCATCTGGAAATACAGTTTATGAGATTGTTACATTGCTAAAATTATTATACTTCATGATAGTCCTCCAAATGTAAAAAGCCTGGAAAGAAAAATGTTGAAAAACTCTAGAAAGAAAACTATGTTAACTATGTTATTGGAAAGTATGTGAAAGATTTTAGTCAAAGAGATCTTTCAGGAAGAGAAAAATACGTTAAATTCAAGGTAGAGTTAAAGTGGAGGATTAAAGTGTTGGCAGATTATTATTAAAGTAATGTTAACTAAAGTTCCCATTAACTAATAATTGTATGGTATTTAAATATTTAGCATTTAAGCACTTTAGCATTTGTCTGGCAATTATTTATTAGACACAGATATAGAGAAACGTAGCAGCAAAGTTAGCCTTCAAGGACTTAAGAATTTTTTTAGGAAGTTACAGAGTACACTTTAAAAATAAGTCAAATATCATTATCAGTTCATCATCATCATCATCTTTATATTGTATTTAAGTAGAAAAGTTTAATTAAAACCGATCATATCAATCATGATCTTAAATATTTGTCATAGCATTGTAAGGTCCATATCGTTATTTCACTTATAGGAACCATATTAAGTTGGTGAGATCTAAAGACAAAGGGTTTATTTGTTTGAGGTCTTGCCACTGGCAAATGGCTAAGTCAAAGAACTAGTTGAATCAGAATTCTGAGTAATTTCTACTCTAAAAAAAAGTCTCTAAAAATAAAGGAAAAAGTTGCAGTCCTAGATGTGTCTGGAGTCAATCAGTTATATTAGAATCAGAGGAATTGATTTCATAATCCTTAGAAATTAGTCCAGTATAAAGAGGATTCTGAAAGTAAATGAATATAGTCATAGGAAAATTGAATGTAAAAAGAAATCGTTCTGAATTTGTTAATCTAGAAGGAAATGGAATGTTATCAATAATAGGTATAAAGCAAAAAATAAAGTCATGAGTAAGAAAGAAACAGAGGCAGACAGAGAGAGACAGAATGAGAGAGGAAGAGAAACAAAAGTATGTGTCTGATTAATGCTGGAGTGATATCAGACTGTTCACCAATTTAAGACTTGCCATTTGTAAAAAAAAAACAAAAACAACAACAACAAAAAACTCATTTCTTATTCTTAATATGAGTTGGAACGAAAGGAGATCAAAAAGAATGAGAAATTATAATGAATGTATAGAAATCCTTAACAAAAGGTCCATTGACTTGGACAAAGCCTCATCAAGAAAATGTGCAGCACCATTTGGTTAAATTTATATATATATATATGCCCTATAATTCTCCTCCAAATGTAAATATTTAATATTTTCTGTTTTGTCCTGATGTAAAAATGTCCATAGCAAGAAGGATTAAAGTGCTGATCTGAATGGAGGCATTTGTTGGGGCTCAGCATGTTTGCATCCTCATTCCACCCCAGGAATCTTTGCTAGGCATAAAATTCTCAGGAACAGAATTTTAGGAATGATCGTGTCTCACATTAGAAGCAGAGTCAAGATGACCCCTGGATGCCCAATTTTCTGACTCCACATCTGTCACAGATGGCAAGATAAGAGGAATCGTGTCACAGATGAAAAAATAAGGTCGAAGAATACCAGAGAACAGTTGATTGAATGTATAGATGTAAGACCCGTTTGTTACATTGTAGAAGGAGATTTCACCTGCTTCATAGTCCAAAAAAATCCCAATGCAATGAGGCCGTTCCAGGTGGAGGAGAGGCACTGATGGGGAGGCAAGGACCATGTACTCATTCCCTTTCAGCAGCCACATGGCCCAGACTCCGTTCTCAGGAGAGGGTGTGGTCTCCCCTTTCCTTGGCACTGTCTCTTGACAGACACCTAAGCCCCACTCTGCTCTTTCTCCCACTATGACTTCCCAGTAATGCCTCCCTGAGGAGAAGTTCTGCAAACCCAGGATACAGGGCCATGTGTCAAATCGCTCGGGATTGTTGGGGAGATCCCTCCACAGCTCTCCATCCTGCACACTGCGTAGATCAGCCGTCAAGAGGAGGCTAGGGTGCGCTGTGACAGGGTCCAGCTTTACATCAACTGTGGGAAGAATTTTGTGGGACACGTGAAAGGTCAGAGAAGACTGGTAAAAACACAGGAAGCACAATATTATGTACAATAATCCCACCGTTCCTCATCCTCCTCTCTCAAATAACTCCTAGAGAAAGCGAAATAATAGTTTGCCTTGTGGGTCACTAGTATATTCCTCATTACTTCCTTGTGCATAATTCAGGACTCATTATTACCCCAATAAAAGCATAACCACTGATGATGTGATGAACCATAAGCATAATTATTTAGATTCCTTTCACCTACATTCAGAACACTTGGGTGCTCTTAGGAAGATCTTATGCATTTATTTTTTCTCAAAATCCATAGAAAAATTTTGTTAATTTGAAATCTACCACTTTCTTCTGATGTTATGTTGCTCTGGTAGACAGAATTCTCAGGTAAGACCCATGACCTATAGACACTGGTGCTACTCTCATGTTTATATTTTATGACAAGAGGAACATAATTTGGGTGGGTCTCATCTAATCACATGAACCCTTAAAATCAGAAAGGTTTCTCTGGCTATTGGGCTGGTGGCAGAACAGGAAGTCAGAGAGATTTGAATTTAATGTGTTCTTGCTGTCTTTCAAGACAGAATGAGCCACATGAGAAGAAAGGCCAGTGACCTCCAACTGACAGCCAACAAGGAAATGGGGAACTCAGTCCTACAACCACCATAACTACATTATGCCAACAGACTGAATCAGCTTGGGAGTGGATTCCTCCCCAGACTCTTCAGAGGAGCCCAGCCTGCCAACACCTTAATATTGATCTTGTGAAAACCTAAGCAGAGAAATGAGCTGATCCCACATGAATGTCTGGTCTGTATAACTATGACCTAATAAATGCATGTGGATTTAAGCAGTGAAGTCTGTGGAAATTTGTTACACAACAACAGAAAACCGATATTGATACTGTGAAGTTCCAGGGAGATTGATGTGAAATTTTACTTATACACATAATTAATAAATACATTTATGTGTAAAATCTCCTCAGTGAAGAAGGCAGGATGTAAAATATTCAGTGTCTTTATTTTATAAACATTCAAAAATAATAAATTAATATGGTTTTATTTTTAATATCATAATAATAACAAATACTATTACAATGACCCTTATTACTATTTGTCTCTAAATCCACTTCTGGTGGTCTTGTGTTGATACCCTACCCTGAGTGGGTCATGTATGTAATATATCATCGCTGCTAACCCATTTAACCACCCTCAAGGTGACTGTTATCATCCCCACATTATCCATGACTAGACTCAGAGTCAGAGTTTATGCAATTTCCCCCAACTCTAGAGGTCATAAGTAACAGACAGAAATGTGGGTTTCCATGGAACTGTGCTAGGCCTACTTAACATATGTTGTCTTTACACATCATTTCCACTCTAGCACACTTCCTTGATCCATTTATAAGAAAATAAATCTGTGAAACGGTTGTTAATATGGTCTATCTCCAATTGCTCCCCCACCCCTCTCCCGTACTCAATTGTTCATCATGATATAACAATACTCAAAGGAAACTTCCCAGTGACCTCCACACTGGTGAGTAGTCATTAGAGTTCACCTTAAATTACTTTTCTGTAGCATTCAATGTTGTTGAGACTCCCTTTGTCCTGGAAAACCTCCTTTCTCTTTTCCAAAGACACTGATCATCACAATCTCCTTCCCTCTCTACTCATCACTCATTCTTGGTCTCCTTTGCTGTTTTCCTCTCTTCTCCATCCAATGGTTTCAGGACTGGGACCTCTTCTTTCTTTCTCAGGTCACTCTCAATGCATTCCTGGGCTGGCTGGATCATTGCTTTAATTAAATTCCATTCATGTGCTTACTGATTCCAAATGCATATCTCTACCTTAGACCTTTCTCCTGAAACACTGTATTTGCAGAATCATCTGCTTACCTGACATCAAACTTTGGATATTTAACATTCATCACAATATTGGTATGTTCAAAACCCAACTCCCTTCTTCTCCCACACCTGTAGCTTTAACCATCAATGTTAACAACTTCATTATGCCAATTCTGGAGATTCAAACTCTGGAATCATTCTGATTTTTCTCTTTCTCTGACAACTCATACCTAATCCAACAGCAGATTTTGCCAGCTCTACCTTTTTTTTTTTTTTTTTAAGATTTATGTATTTATTTATTTGACAGAGAGACAGTGAGAGAGGGAACACAAGCAGGGGGAGTGTGAGAAGGAGAAGCAAGCTTCCCGCCGAGCAGGGAGCCCGATGCAGGGCTCGATCCCAGGACCCCGGGATCACAACCTGAGCCGATGGCAGATGCTTAACGACTGAGCCACCCAGACACCCGCAGCTCTACCTTTGAAATATACCAAGATTCTGTCCACATTTCACATCTCAGCACCTATGATAATACTACCATGTTATGAATTATTGCAAAGGCTCCTAATTGCTTTTCCCACTTAAAGCCTCACCCCTTTGAATTTATTCTCAATAAAACATACAGAGTAAGACTCTCAAAACATTAATCTAATCATGTTATTCCTCCATTTACAACTTTTCATTGACTTCCTATTTCACTCAAAGGTAAAAGCATCCTGGTCACATTGACCTGCCCATAGCACCCTGTGCTAGTTGGTCTTTTCTTGGCCTCTCTGACTCTGCCCTTTCTTACTCTTACCCAACCACACAGACCTCATAGTTCCTGGAACGCATCTTCTATATTTCTATCTCAGGCCTGGACACTCATTGTTTCTGCTGCCTGGAATGTTTTCTTCCACATTAGATATTTGATGAGTTAACCCCAAGGGGCCTTCCTTGAATGTCAAATTCAAAATCAGATGCCCTAACCTGAACACTTCTGGCCATCCTTACTTTATTTTTTTCTCAATATTCTTCTCAATATTTTTCTCAGTATTCTGTGTCATCTTCCAACATTCTGTGCATTTTGCATAATTTAGGTAAATATGTACACATGAAAACATGAGGCTATGGATTTGTAGGATTTTTTTTGTTATTGTTCGATAATATATTTCAATACTTACAATTTTGTGTCTGGACAAAATACAGAATATTTATTGAATTAATCCATCATTATTTAATTCATTAAAAAATGGGAATAAGAGAATACTGATTATGGGAGTGTAATAAATTGCAACAGGTCATGCAGTTAGTATATGTTAATCTGCTCATTATTGAACAGGACGGCTAAAATGGGTTTTTCTCATTGTGGGCTGAAGCTTCCTTCTAAGTAATGAAACCAGTACTTAGCCACAGTTTGTGTGCATTGCTGGGTATAATTTGGATTAAAAAAAGAAATACAAATGTTGAATCCATACTCTTTGAAGAACAGCATAATCAGACCTAACAAACTCATTTATGTCACCCCACTTATTCCTACATAAAAATAACTGACTGAATATTTTTGGCTTTATTGACTACCTAATTTAAGCAGCCCATCAAGTTACGATAATAAAATAAATTTGATATAAAGCAATGCTTTTATATTGATGATTTTTCTATGTTTTCAAATATGTTTCATTTAGTCCTCCAAACAATACACTTTTTCAGCATTTTATAAACAGGGAAATTAATATTATTGGAACTAATGTTACTCATATCACAGCTAATAAGCTATGAACCACTCTTTCAAGCCTAACTAAATGTAGCTAAAATGGGTGTTAGTAACTCTGATACTCTTTATGACTTTACACAAATATCCCAGTTCTCTTTCTTCTGAAAACAGCGCCCTCTTCCATCCACCCTTATAACCTGGCATGATTATGTGACTCACTGTAGTTAATAAAATCTTCAGAGAACCCAGTGTGCCACTTTAGTGTAGGACCAGTGCCTAATCCACCATAACCTAACCCTTTTCCAGAGCGACCAGCAATAGAAAGGTAGGGCTTTATCTGCATGGGTCCCAGAGGGAAATGAGGTGAAATAAAAATTCTCCACAATCCACTAGTAAACCAATGATATGATCTAAAAATAGACCTTTGCTGGGGTGCCTGGTGGCTCAGTCTTGGTTTTAGCTCAGGTCTGACCTCGGGGTTGTGAGATCGAGCCCCACATCAGGCTCCACCCCAGCAAAGAGTCTGCTTGGGTTACTCTCTCTTTCTCAAATAAATACATCTTAAAAAATGAAAAATAAACTTTGGGTTTTGTTACTGCAGCCAGACTTGTACAGTAACAAACTGTATGTAGTAACACCCAAACCATAGGCATTGTAGTTCTCCCGGCTCAAAGACAAAGCCTACCTTGGAACTTTCTCAACATTTCCCTCATCCCAGGGATGCGACACATTGTCCTCAGCTCCATGGGGATGGTCTCCGGTTCCAGCTGTGTGACATCCTTACTTCTGAGAAGGGCACAGAACCGATAATTCTCAGTAGGGTTTATCCACCAACTTCCTTGTCTTCCCCCAACCCAGTCCCTGGTTCAGAAAGTAAACATACCGGCTCAAGGCTCCTCTCACACCCTGAAAGTAAAAGAGAAATATAAGCAGGTGTGAGTTACACCTCCATAATGCTTTTGACGGATTGTAAAAACAAACAAACAAACAGAAAAAACAAACATGAATATTTCTTTAGGAATGATTGGAAATAATTAAGTATGAAGATAAAACTATAGGAGATAAGAATCTCTCTTAACAAAATCCAAAAATTCGCTTTTGAATTTTCTCATAATTTTAGAATCAGTTTGCCTCTACTACAATGGAATCAGGCTACTCAGAGTTTAGATTAATTCCAATGATATCAACCAATTTAACTATTTTTCTGAATTGGTAATTCTGACATTTGGATATATTAACAAAGATTTACATTCTGTAACAAGTGTAGATGGAATTAAGGTAAAAATAGAGTTTAAACATCTTCAGAATTTATTTGAGGGATGGAGAAAGGTATAGACAAAAATGTTACTCCCAATGTCTCTGTAAGAAAACCCCAAATTCCTCATGCTATGAAACACCACACATCATAGCTATGAAATCATGTGTGAGTGGGTTACCTAACTGGATAAAAAAGGATATCATTAATCAACAGCAACATTTTATCTCAAAGGAGATTATTTAAATAAACCACCTGCTTCACATTTTCCTTTTTCCCTCTAAAAATAGCCTCCTGTCAGATAAATTTTGAGAAGGCATAAAAGGAGGAAAATAACTGACTACTTTTTATGGGACTGGCAGGCCTTGTTTTTGGCTTTTGGGGGTAAAACGCTGCTTACTGGTACTGATGAGGAAAGGGAAAGGTGGATATAAAAATAAAAAATAAATAATTTTAGAATATATTCTCCCTAAAATTTGTAATGTAAATCATTTTAACATTATCTGGTGCTAAGAAATGCTTGTTTCCAATGTTGTGTTTTGGAAACATAGTAAAATAAGGAGATGGATATCATTATTGAAAATGCTAAAGTTCTGTGTATATTCACTGTTTGAAATTCAGAAAATTAATTCCTTTCTGATGCTTAGTTTGCTCACATGGAAATGAGCCTAGTAATTAATAATAATAATAATAAACCTAAGTGTTGCTTACAGAGAGAGAGAGATTGAAGACAAAATGAATTATGACAAAATAAATAAAAATGCTTTTTAAGTTCAGTTATTTAATGAACTCCCAACTATGTAACCAGGGCTGTTTACTCACTGTACTTGTAAACATTATGTAGACAGTTAATATGAAGATTTCATGGCACTTTCAGTGTCTGGAGCTAACTCAAGGTAGAATCTGGGGGTCAGCTGCTAAATGAGGATATGGATTACTTAGTTGAGAATCTCCTGAATGAGTCACTGGGAAAGAAAGAATGAAGTGTGCCCAGAAATCTTCTATTGCAGTGCATTCTATCATGATAATATGCATGCATTATCAACAATGGCCTTCTCAATCCACTTGGAATTTTGATGACTTCCTGGAGGATTAAAAACAAATAAATACTCCATTTTTCCTGTTTTGTCTCTCTGCTGTAGAACCCCTAAACAGACTGTGAGCAAATGGCAAGGAACCCACTTAATACCTCCCCACTGTGCCTGGAATGGGCATGCAGTATGGACAAGGAAATCCGTGTTTGCCACAAAATTTAACAGGAAAACTTCAAGCTGGACAATTTAAGATATTATTCATATGTTTAGTTACTGATACGGGAATGGGATTCCAAAGACTTCTGGAATTGGCATAGCATCATTGACAGATTAACTGTGAGGTTTTAAGAAGTGTTTTCCAGGCAACATAGCATCGATTGCCCATTTTTTGTTTAACCTTATAGGTAAGATATCACATTTTACTTCTTAAAAATATGAATTTTTGGTCTCTAAGATGAACTATTTTAGACAATTCTCAAGAGTCCCTTCTCATTCTGATGCTAGGACTTAGAATTAAGGCGCTTTCCAAACAGATGCCAGGGTGCCCTTTTCCTAAAAAGCATGAGGGTGGTAAGTGGTTTGTGGTTGCAAGCAGCTGTGTGTCACCGTGGTTTCCCACATTGCCCGTGCTCTGTTGAGGGACCCAGGCTCACCTCCAGCAGACCCCGCTGCAGAGGACCCAGGCTCACCTCCAGCAGACCCAGCTGCTGAGGC